TTTAATTTGATAAAACGATTTAGAAATACAATATATAAATACATAGATACATGTTTATTCTATATCCTAGGAAAATAAAAATTTAATATAAGATATATATATATATATATATATATATATATATATTGAACTAAATAAAAAGAGAGAGATAAAGATAGAATAACGAGAATAAATAGTAAGAGGAGAAAATTTAGAAGAGTTAAGACGAGAATCGCGAAGATTAAACAGCTGATTGGAACAATGGAAAGTTATAATTGCTTAAAACATTAGTGACATTATTATAGCGCACAAAAAATACTTATAGAATATATTACTAATGATTCGCATAATACATTATGGGATTATTCCCATTTATAATTAAAACATTTTTTTCTCTTGTATCTTTTTCTATTATCTTGTTTCTCTTCTTGTTTTACTGTTTTGACCTTTTGCGAACGTACTCGAAATCTTTTAACGTTATCAATTTGATGCTCTTTTACGATTTTCCAATTACCTATTTTCCCATCGGCATTTAAAAGCATCGCGTGAGCGGTTTGTAATTTGAAATACATCGACGCGAATTGGATCGCCCGCTTCTGTATTCCGGTTCGACAGAGAATCACACGAGAGGACGAGGAGCAATCGGCGTTCCGGCCGGTCTTGCGGTTCCAGTTGTATCTATTGAAATTACCATCTAGCGGATTGGCAAGTGTGATGGTGCGGCTAACGGAGAGCCTCCAATCAGCAGGTAATTGCTTCATTCCGTTGGCAAGGCCTGTCCAATATTGTGGCCCTCTGAGCTAAGCTTCGACGCCGAAGCGCCGCTTCAAGTACCTGGGTAGAGATACCGTCAACTTTTATCTCGAAGCTCTCGATCGATCTTCGACCGCCGGTATCTTCGGTTAATGAGAAGCGACGAGACGCCAGCGAAGTGCGGATATGAAAAAGCATCGACTACGCGTCTCTGAAAACGACGAGCTTAAATTCAACCAGACAACGACATACGCGCGGATGAAACATCAAACGCGACGGGCGACCCACGTTCGCATCGGCTCATGAAATCATAATGGAAAAAGGCGCGCGCGCTTTAATATCGACATTTTTAAAGGGGCAACCTTAACGGGGGCGACACGTAGGACAGACATAACGAGCAAGGGGAAACGGCGGCGGCTTCAAACGTTCTCCGCATGATACCTTCGGCTCTCGGGAGGACGGCTTTTCCTTTTCGCGTGCAGTTCAGAACGTTGGATCGGAATTAATGAACCGTAATCCCCCAATAATGAGGCTTCGGCTTCACTGGCTCCGATACGACCTCGCCTTCCCCCGCGCGGCCCCGACCGCGCTACGACTCGCTCCAGACTCTCCTCCATGCCGCACACGTGCGCGACAATGTACATATGTGCTCGCGTAAATGTCACACACACCTTATGGACATGTACACCTGCGTGGCGCGCAAGACCTCGAAGCTCGAGAGTGTCGACGCAAATTATCTTCCCGGGGAGCACGCGTCGATGCCGCTCATCGCGCGTAATCAGCGCGGCTCGACGATTTTTCTCGCACGAAAGAGCGTAACGCGTACGCCAATTAGCACGCACCGCTGCAAATACTGCAAAATTCGACTTTCCAATTTTTTTTTTTTTTTACGTCAACGTTGACCTCGAACTCGTTAATATTTAGAGCGTGCAATGTATTCGGTAAACATGGAGTATCGCGACTAGCTCGGAAGTTTCTCATTTGCTACAAAGATGTTCGTAATTGCAACGGTATAACTTGCAACAAGAGTGTTTCGACAAATTATCTGGAAAAAGAAAAAAATTTGCAGACTCTCGACACGACGGTCGTTGTTTGAAACGAGTCTAAGTGACTTCATTTTTGCGAAAGTTCGAATTTAGAACTTTCTCATGTACAGCAAAATTTTAACTGAAAGAAAACAGATTTGAAATACATGAAAAAAGAAAAATTTCGCTACTTTGTTATTATATCTTCTCGATTTTTATTTTTTTACTGTCATATATACGTAACCAACTATTGTTGAGCAACAAAACAATTTCAGGATTTGTATAATATATGTATATATATTTGAATATAAAGGGATATTCTAAAATACTTTTGAGATTTAAATAATGTAAAAGTGTAATATATATACCTTGGTTAATTGAAAAATTTTAGAGACAAATTAGAGACACATTGCAATAATGAAAATAAATAGTCCTTTAAGAAATGTAAAAGTATCGTACACACGATACTTTATAGTTTTGTTTCTTCGCAGAGCTTTAAAGAGTAACGCACAAACGTATATAGCTGAGAGGCAAAAAAGGAGGTATATCGCGCGCAAAACTCTCGATATTAGTTACAGTAACGCGGAAAGTTACATCCGCCCCCGGAAACTTTTATGCTTTTGTAAACCGCACCTGGTCGCTGGTTTTCTCGCGACGCTCGCGGTTATACGCGCGTTTGACCCCGTTCGAGGCCCGGCCTCAAACGAAACTTTTAATAACCACGGTACTCGTGTAGCGCGAGCCCTTCAGCGTTCGAACATGCCAAATACAACGGTGTCTGCTGCAGCATTGCCGAAGGTGGTATCACGAATGAAAAGTCAAAGAGAGATGATTTTTACGAAATAATTTTTCAAGTCCCCGACCTTGCACTGTAAATTATCGACACGAAAGCTCGTTACGACATTGCACTCGAGCTTCAAGGTATATTTCCTAATCGCGAAACGTGAATAATATTTTCAAAAAATTACCGAGTTATCCTGGCTCTCCTAAAAATATCAGAAACAATGGTTCGCTCGTATTACGCACTTGAGTAGCTACTCATACCTACGTGATTTCGTTTGTCGCGCGAATATCCATTCGAATGTTCCGAACGAAATAAAGGTGACGTAGGGGAAAAAAAAATAAAAATAATAAAAGCAAAATTTGGCGCGGCGAAACGAGCGAGTGTTTCTGACAGCGTCGATTGCCGTCGATGTAAAATCGCCCCCTCATTCGGGGGCGAGCATTTAACGCGCCTGAAGCGTATATGTCGCATGGCATACGCATTATCGCGAGAGTGTCGGAACGGGTTGTGCGGATATATGCTGAAAATGTTTCATCGGGATTGTCTTTGAAGGCAGCAAGGAAGCTTCTCGATCGATTTAATAGGAACGAGACGGGATGTATCACAAGGTGACGTTCTGTGAAAATCTGTCGGGCGGATATATCGCGTTACCGGTCTGAATCTGACGGTGTCCTTGTCGTTTAAATTAAAAGCAATTGCACCAGCTAGCGTATGTGGTTCGTTGAATAACGGCCTCGAGCCTTTTGTGGAGAATTCCCGCGAGGTGAAGACGATCGATTATCGATATACGCTCCAGTTGTTGTCAATGCATAACAATCATGCTGTAGATCGAACTTGTCGTTACGGTTTTATTGATAAATTAATAAACTTTAACATCTGCGGAAAGAATTTCGCTTAAAGTAATATGCACTTTTATGCCCTCCTATTTTATGCGATTAAAATCAATTATTTCTTAAAAATCCTACTTTAATATATATGTATTTGATATTGATATATCGATAAATTTTGAAAAATTATACTTTTGTATATACTATATATTTATTATTTTATTTGACTGAAAATGTGATAATTTTTATCAAATAAAAGAGAATTAATTCAATTAACATATTGTTACTAAAGTTTAATAACGATTAATCATTTTTCTTTTATGACATGAACATCGATTATTCCAATAATTTTCAAGAAATAAACGCGCCTATTATACATAGATCCCTGTGACATATTTTTAACATGTACATGTATGACTGTATGAGATTCATTTCTCATTGTGTAACAATTTCTGCCTGCGACGCGAAACTTTTGCGTGGAAAAGGAAGAGTCGTCCATCACGATAGTATCGATTTAATGTCAGTATATGAATCAGGACGGAATCAGTTAGTAAATGTCGCATCGATAGAAGTTATGAAACTCGGTATCATAAAATACTAATATCATAAAAATTTTGAATTAATCAGAAAAAATTATGGAATACATTTACATGAATATTTTTTACTTGATATATATCCTTCCCTTGCGAGCATTTTAGACCTTCTAAGGAAGGATGAGAAGAAGTCTTAACGCAAGCGAGCGTAAAAAGAGGAGAGGAAAGAGGCGCACGCAAGAGAAGCACGATGAAGTGCGCCATGCGAAGTCGCGTGACCAAAGCTAAAAGTCTAGTTACGCAAGTTGTAATATTACAACTGTTATATAAACTTTCAGAAACGCTCGCTCAGCCAGCATTTGCATTGATGACGTGAATATAATGTATCACCGGGAGCTCGCGCGCGAAAGCCGAGCTTTTCTCCGCAGCCACAATGGCCACTGACCACCTGTTGCCTTTCCATTTATATTTTAGACGCCGTGAGAACGTCATCGCCTTACATATTCTTGCGAGCATCTTAAAAAAGGAAAAATCTTTTTCGTGAGAAAAGATTGCGAATCACTTCTTTGTCGTACATTTTATACCTATGCTCTTTCATCCAGCGAGCATTATATGAATGATTATTTTGCTTTATATTTGATATTATTTGCTTTAAACATATTGCTTTTTCTTATTTTCGAGGAAATATTACAATTATGATGATATTTAATTTTAATAACATAAAAGAATATTAATCGACAGTAAAATATATAGAAGAATTCAGCTCCCAATGTTTTAATTAGAACTCGACAATTTCGATGAGTGAAAAATTTACATGAGAAATTGTTTTAATGAATTTAATTTTTTCCATGCTTTTCGCATAATTAGACGCTACTGTGAAATACCGGCAATGTATAAATCCTCAATTATTCATTCACCCATAAAAGTCTGATTAAAAATAATTTTTCCACACGTTACTCATATGTGCTATAAATAATAGCTCGTTACGGAGATCGTTAAAATGTACGCGTAGCACCTGGCACGTCGTAAAATTACGACGAACCATAAAAATTCCAACGTTATGAACGTGAAATTATGAATATTGCATTATCTGTTGCAGGGTGCGTCATCCAGCATAGTGGTAAAATTCGCAGACACTGATAAAGAGAGACAACTAAGACGCATGCAGCAAATGGCCGGGAACATGAGCCTCCTTAACCCCTTCGTCTTCAATCAGTTCGGCGCTTACAGCGCTTACGCTCAGGTGGGTCGTGTTACCGTTAATGGCTCTCGCGTTACCGCATTACCGCCTTGTTGTCCTCGTTACCGCGACTCACAATCTGCGATGGCTCGTCCCTCGTTACTCTCGGAAATGATCGGCCGAAACACGATGCCATCGCATTAACGCCAGCATGCAAAGAGAGAGGTCTGCCGCAATCACGTTTCGTGATTTAATTTTTCACGGACTTGACCGGGTTGCAAGATGAAAGAAAATGTCGTTTCATAAAAATTGTTATATTTATAATATTTAACGATATATTTCAAAATGATCGAAGAGCATGTCTTTTAGATACGATTTCTAAAAATTTTATAATAAAAAAGATAACATTGATAATTTTTAGATAATTATTCACACATCAAGATCATAAATTTTCGATATTCGATTATCGATTCTTGATGTAATCCTGTTTGCTAATATAATAATAGAAAAATACGAGAAGATTTTTTTAATAAAAATCCTTTCTTTGTAGCAACAAGCGGCGCTCATGGCAGCCGCGACCGCACAGGGAACGTACATCAATCCAATGACTGCATTGGCCGCTGGACAATTGCCGCATGCATTGAATGGCATGCCAAACCCTGTAGTTCCGCCAACTTCTGGTAAGCTTATAATTGATTGAAAAAAAATTAGAATGATATGTTGTGGGTGTCGCAATGGAAGAACTCATTTACTTTCTAATTTCCGAAATATTTTTTGAAATTAAAATATTTGATCAAATATTGTCTATGAAATTTTCGATAGAAACATTCATAATCAAGAATACTGATGAAATAGGATAATAAATAGGATAATAAATTGCATTCTTCTTTCGCGAATATCTGCATATATATAATACTTTTATTATTTATTATTCTTTTATATATTTTATATAAAAGCATTATATAATATTTGCATTTAATTGAAAAGTTGTTATATTTTAAATCTATTCGCAGTTTAATTAATTCAAAATATTACGTGCTATAGATAAAGAACGTCTATTATACAATATATGTATCAATAACCATTTACGAAGACCACGTGAAAAATATTCAATTTTTTAATCCCTATTAAAGTCAATGTCGAGTTATCTGATTAATCAACTAATTGTATCAATCCATTAAAAAATTTATCAAAAACGCACTTGAGGGCACACGAATTATCAATCATCAATCATCATGCTGTCCGATTTTAATGACAAAAACATCTTTCGGTCGTTATTTCTCCTCAATCTGTTGCCTGTAATTTCCCTGAACTTTCGCGATATACACATACAGACGAAGCAAACATTCGGTACAACCTTATAATCGACTCGTAAATCAATACAATATTTTCATCAAACGTGACTCGAGCGAGAAATATTGGCGGTACCGCGAAACTTTATGGAAAGCTCGTTGTAGAAGAGGAGGAAATGCCTCTTCCTTGCCCTCACACTTCCCTTTCCTCTTTCTTCATCCGTCTTTCTCATTTGCGCCCTTCACATGGCAATACAAGAAACAACGGAGAGGTCGAAGTCGCTGTAGAGACATAAAATAAGCGGGGAAATCGGCTCCGTTATATGTCGAGTCTCGTCAAGCGGAAGGTAATACCGTTTGATAGGGAAATAATATTTTATTTCTCCGCCAATCTCCCCCGCCCTCGCTCCCGCGACCCACCCCGTCGCGTCCATCCGCTTTACTCCGTACCAAAGATTACCGAAGCAGCGAGCTTTTATTTCCGACGGAACGATACCGCAACCACAAACGGCATGTATACAGGGTGGCACTTGCAGGTGGATCTATTGGAGAAACGTTTTGTGACTCCAACGATAATTGCATTTCAAAGTATTCTGTGAAAGAAAAATTCAACGATTCATTGATGACATAGAAATTAAAGCAAAATTATTTTTAGTTATAAATAAATATTTTAAAGTCAATTTTTCTATAAAATATAATTTTTTTATAAACAATATGATTCGAACATGATTAGTTTACATTATATTAGATTTTTGTCTACTTTGTATCATGCCACATTCAATGAGAACTCTTCATTTCGCGCGCAATGTATCAATATACTTTGAGGTAACCATGTTTTCACTGCCGCTGTAAAAATCTCGCCCGTGTAAAGAAACCGCTCGATTACCCATCGCGAATCGACAATGCCGGAACGTATATCGCGCAGTCACGGGAGTTTAAGTTTACGACGTATCGTCATACCGATGTACGTAGCAAGGATGCGCACAGCGTAATCTCCGGGTGTTATCGAGGCATCGAGATTCTTCTTCCCCGTCTTCCACCTTTCGTAGCCACATAGATCCGATTCGGATATGCATTAAATTGCCGGCATTTATCTTTACCTGACAGGCAATCGCATTGTTTGGAAAAGCTTTTAGAGTTTCTTCGGGAATCATTCTTTTAATTTCAAAAAATTGCATTTTGATTATATCATAAGTACATATATTATTGTTATCATGTGCCCTTGAGTGCATATTTTCCATAATTGCACATTAACTCGATAGAAATAACACATATATTGCACAAACATAATTATATCTCTTTATCAATGCCGCGAGTAATATTGACGTGATACCAAACGTTGGTCATCGGCGCGATCAATGCGTCATTAACACGAGCAAGGCTTTGATCGCTGATCCGAGTCACATCATTGACAGGGGACAAACTATTACCTATAAACATGACCTTTTCATATAAACGTTGTAATATATCAAAAACAAGCATACAGTTGCAGTAGTATAATATGCGATCGTATGTTACGCGAAAGTTGCGCGAAGTGCAACACAGGATCACAGAGAGAAAGAGAAAAAAAGAGAGAGATAGAGAAAAATGCGACATTAAACACACAGCCCTTTGACCGAACCGATATTAACTCGATACAAGGCTCTGGTCTACGGATCAAATCAACAACCCGACGATCCGTAGTTCGTCCGACCCCTCAAACGCGAGGCATACGGATCATTTCCCGGGACGAATATTTGTCGTAATTACAACTGACGCAGAAAGAGAGAAAAACAGTGCGGGACAAAAAATAGCAAAAAAGGGAAAAGGATAAAAATTGCATCCCCCGGTTCCGATGCCTCGCGCATAGAGGACGATCGAGGTCGGTGTTGAAAGAGCAAGAGGGTAATCGGTGTGTACTGATCAGGTTTGCTCGTAGGTACCGGCACAGGGCAACCGGTTAACGGGGCGATACCATCGTTACCGTCGCCGACGATGCCCAATTTTAACATGGCTGCTCAAACGCCGAACGGCCAGCCAGCAGGCTCGGATCCAGGTGTCTACACCAACGGAATACCGCAGACTTATGCGGGACGTGAGTATCAACTCAGGCGCAGCGTGCCGCCCCTGCGCAATGCCCGGCCAATCGACGACGGACTTTATTATTCCGCGGGGATGTAAATAACTTTGCGCAGGCCAAGTACAACGCCGAGTACGCCTGGTACTCGTACTTTTCCGTGCTTCCTCGCCAAGGAAGCACCGCTACATTCGTAGGCGTTTATTTGCCAGGAAGCGCTGAAATTATGATGATATGAGATTCATACGTGAAAGATGCAGTTTCTCAGATGTCTGCTAAACGCGAGATTTTGTAAGAGAAACGTAGAACTTTTTCTTCCAGTAATGTGAACAAAATTAAAATTGCAATAGATAAGTGAGTAAATGTTAATTTAACTAAGATCTCGTTTATATACATACAAATTCGATGTTTTAAAGACTTCTCCAATTGAATCTCTGATTTTGGCAATTTTAAAAAATACAAGTACAATCCGAATGTTGGTCAAGTTGAATCGTACAATGCTAACGAATCATTAAACTGTCGTATAAATCGTACTTTGCGAACAATAAATTTTACACATAGTAGGTGATATATGATTATTCTTATAGTCAAGCTTCCATTAATCTTTGGCCTTTATCGCTCCATTCGAATAGTCATTACTATACTCGAATATAGTCGGTGGAAATATCGATTGGCCTACTGGGTATTGCGACAGGGGCCTCTAGGCTAGGCCCTCTCCCCGATAAGAGCTGAGCTTACTGAAGTGTAGATGCCCTCCATCTGTCCATTCCAGCGCAGGGGCTGCCCAACGGGGAGGCGGCACTTCAGCATGCCGCCGCGTATCCTGGAATGCAGGCTTATGCTGGAGTGGCCGGTAAGTGTTTCTCCAGCTTCAATTTTTATCTCCACGGCTTGTCAAGGTGCTGTCTACCCTGTTCCCCGTGCAATGACTGTAGCGCGTTTCGCCCATCCAGCTCCATCCAAACGGACTCGCGGATATTATCGACGTAAAATAGATAGACGGACATATTTATTCGTAGAATTTTTTATTCCGCGAATCAAATAAATAATTTCAACGTGAATGATGCGAACGTCAATTATATCTATATCATAGTATCGTTATTATATAATACGGACGGATCTATAATTGTAATGACAGCTCGTAACGATATTTCTTTTCTTCGTAAACTTATTTAATTCAGGAACGCGCATACTCTTGTTAAAGTCACTTTGAAAGTTTCATAAGCGTTTTGCATTATCGCCAAGTGAACAGTACGGTTCATCGGTGCTAACACGCGACTAGATGACATTTTGCGTCCTCATCTCACCCGGATGTTGCCTATCGCGATCTTGAGCGGGTCGAGAAACGCGCATGTTTTCGACGAAAAGGGAGGAGGATCATCTGTACGTAAAGGGAAAATGCATCGGAACGTTTACGTGCTTTTATTCGGGCGCCGTCGAAGCACTTACCTGCGAAAAACTCAATTTCGCTGATCGCGTTGCTGGTTGTTTGCATGCAACTATGGCCGCATGCGTATACACACCATACATACACGTCATACATGATCGTGTACGCGTCAACGTTTCGTTCTATAATGCTTCTGCTGTGGTGCTACGATGTACTTTGATGTCCTTCTAAATGTACTTCGTGTACATATTATATTGTAGTTTTACACGTTACACGTCCTCTCGTGCATGCATCCCCCTCATCAACATCAGCGGCGAAATATCCGCCATCGACCGTCGACGTTGCGCTGCAACGTCAAAGTGCAGCGCATCGGCGCAAATTATGATCCAATAATGTTCGGCAAAATGGATGATCTCGTTTCACGGATAATCAGCGTCTCGATGGACCTATACTTGTATTACATTCCAATCACCGTCCGTAATGAGAACACGTTTAACGAATTCCGCGTTCGCGTCAATGCGTTAACACGTGGTCTAATGCCAGTCGATCGGGCGCTACTGATCGAATCTGAAAAAAAAAAAATGCAATCGGGAATGAAGAATGAAAAACGGAAGCGAAAGAGATACTACTTATTCTTGCCCCGTGTCTGATTAATAATTCCCTCTTTGCGTCTCTCAACGCGTTTTTTACCGTATCGGCGGAAATTCAACAAATTCGAGTCATAACAAACGCAGCCGCGTATGCGCGGTCGTATTTACCGAGGACTCAAAAGCGGTATATTTTTTTCTATGTATTTTCGGCCAGTGTACACACGCGCCATCGAGATCAGCGAGTGGAAAAAAAGCAATCCCGAATAACGGTGTACCTCTATCTGAGCGTGACGCGGCCGACGTATGATGGCGTATTTATTTCATACGCCAAACGTTGATCCATCGCGCACCGAGGGGGAGAGGGGCCGTTGGGTAACGTCAATCGGAATATATTAAAGCGATGTTTGCACGGAAATAATTAATTCCGGGGCGAAAATTTGCCTCTGCCGATCTGAGAGCGTGGCTCGCGCGCACACGCTCCACCTATCCGTCACAAACAGGTATCAATCACGAGCGTTTTAAATATTTATCAAGCTATAATTAATAACGACGTACTTGCTTTCTGCCTCGTCACGTGTAGCGAACGATATAATACTGGTTCGCACGCGCGTTTATAGCGAGATCCGAATTTACAGATTAACCAATTGTCATCAAACGTGCAGAGATCGCATCGCGAATTAAAATATATCGGGCACTTCTGTTTAATGCGAAATATTTTGCAGATACTCGTTGATCAGATGTAATATTAATATTTATTCATTCTACGCGTGCGTTTCCTCCCTTCAACAACAGACACGGTAAAATAGCATTGTAACAAAATCGATCGAGCTTTCGTATTCAATTTGTTACGTTAGAATTTCACGTTATTTTATTATTATTTAGAATCTAATTATTGCATTAATCTCACCGAGCGATTCTTGACATATCGGCATCAATTATTAATCAAGAAAATATGCGTAATCAAATCTCGTTTTTAATGCCATCTTGTATATTGATTCATTGTAATCTGATATTAAGCAAATGCTATTACGATAATGTCTCTCCAATTTCAGAGCTTTATTCCGTAGAGTCGTATATCCTTTTCGCGAGATCTTCCGTTTTAACGTTTGTAGATTGGGATGCTTTTCTCTTAATTGTTGGAATATTTAGTTTCGCATAAATTGCAACGGGATACTCTGTATAGCTTTGCAGACTTTTACTGCATCATTGCGCTAAGATAGCGTTCCGTATCCCGTTTTAATGAGGCGCGTCGTTTCGAGTCGAATCGGCTTTGAAGAGATATCGAGTGTCGGCTAATGTCGCACCGGATGCAACGCTGCGTTTTCGCAGGCCGTGATGGTTCGGAGCACAAAAGTATCGTGTTGAAAGTCGCGCGGAACACGGTGAGAACGTTGAGAGACGAATATCCTTGTCGGTGAAAACGCCGTGATGAATGTCACCTGAAATCGCTTGTACGACCGTTCGCATCAACGAATCGTTCCTCGCTCGTTTTTAAGCCGCCGGGATAAACACAGGCCACTCTAGAACAGAAGCGTTTCTGCGTTATTATTATTATTATTATTATTTCGCGTTAACAATGAGATTACGCGGAGTATCCTAGGAATAATAATTCTCCAGGGAAAATTTTGAGATGGACCTCACACTCTCTCATTACTTTTTCATATTAGAAATACTCATTTTGATAAACGTAGACTTAAAATTGTTGAACGAATAAAGTTTACCCGAATTAAGTAAATGTTATTTTGTGTATGTATGTGTGCGTCCAGAGAGCTTAGTTCTCTCGAAAAGCTTGCCATTCCAAAGCGATCACAGAATCTTTGTCATTAATGTTGAGATTGTAATAAAACCTGCATACTTCGAATATATTGCATCTTATGATTCGCAGAGAGAAATATTCTCTCTCTTGCGTTCTTCACATTTCATATTCTTCTAACATTGCGATATTCTGACCCTTCCCCCGTCTCGCACCGAGTCTTCGGCAAATCGCAAGAATGAATGGTCGCGTCCGGTTACGTACTTCTGACACTTCTGAAACGCACGGTCATAAATTACGCCGTTGTAATCTGTCTAGCAATAGCAATGCAATTTCTGTTGACGTTTATTGGACTCTGTTCGGCTTTTATTACTGTCATCGTCCATTATGTATGCGCTATCGCTGCATTGAATTACGACGCCTACATTCGTTCGGGGGTTGTTGCCGGTTTCGACCTGTCGCCGGCTCTTACTGTCGACGACGGTTGACTGCGGATCGCAATGCTAGGGAAACGAAAAAAAAAAAGAAAAAGAGAGAGAGAGATATATGTATACATATATTAAGAATGGAATACAGAGATAGGCAGTGAGCACGCACAAATCTAGATGTGGACAGATCATGATGTACTTGTTATTTGTTATTGTCGCAGCTTACCCCGCCGTCTACGGCCAGTTTCCTCAGGCTATTCCTCAGCCGATGACCGCGGTGGCGCCCACGCAGAGGGAAGGTAAGTACAACACGCTCATCAACGTCTAACTGTTGACTGTAAACACGAACGACTGTAGACCCGAGATTTGTAGACCCACCGTCCCGTACACATGTCCAGACACGAATTATCCCTCGTCGGCGCCCAACGAGGTGCAAGACAGAGTTTCGACTTCTCTCGCCGCCGCCCATCGCACAGCAGTCCGTACCGTTAATTCCATACTTCGCAAATAAAGCGACATCGCGCCGCGAGGCTCGATTATGCGGAAGCAGAAGCGATGAGCGGGAGCTATTCGCGAAAATCAATTCAGAGCGTGTTTCGCTTCGTTTCACCTCTCGCGTTCTTCTTTTCTGATTTAATTTTAATATCGCAGTGTGTCAGACGTTTATTAAAAAAAATATCCCGCGTTGCCTCGTATTTTTCAAATATCAGATGAACACCGTCAGTTTATTTTTTTTTGTAGAAAGAAGTTGATTGCTTTAGAAACAAACAAGTCAATTCGATAGTTTCGATAATTTGTCTCTGATCGCGCAAAGTTGCACAAAAATGCGATTAATTAGAAGTCACCGGCTTGAATAAAAAAAAACAAAAAAACGCGATCGGTCAAAGAGACAGCACGAGTCTCGCTTAGTACATATATCAAAGAGAGCTAGTCATTTATTACGCTACATTTTGCGGAAAAGTACCGAGAAGAAAGGATCCAAAGACTGGGAAAAAGTCGACCGGGAGAAGACCTGGGTTAGAAGAGGGCTGAGCGAGCCAACGCCTAATTGCAATTAACAACTCGCCATTATTAGAATATACGACGCCTTGCAATGAGATAATGCAAATAAAACGAAAGTTTTAATTACTTTGCCGCTACGCCCGCCGGCGATCCGTTGTTACATCGCAGGATAATGGAAAGTTTACCGCGACACGGCTACCCCGCCTCCGTTTTATCCGGCCTCAAACCCTCTGGCTCCCTTCCCTCCGTCCGCTCCATCCCGGCCGTTCCCTTCTCGTCCCCGTCCTCTCTCGCTTCTCTTATCCTTTACCATTCTCGTTCCACCTGATCTTTTCGTCTCATCGATGCGTCGTGACGTTTTCCCATGCGCCGCGATTAAATCGTAAGCGGTACACACGATTCTTAAATACGAGAGATCTCTAATCGAATTTTCCAATTCACGGCGAGGAACTTTGCCTATTGATTAATTTCGCGTCTCTCTGGTTCTCGAATCGACGAAAATTAATAATAAATTCATTTTCTGGACGGATATAAGCTTGATAACATGAAATTTTCTATAATATTAATTATATAAGTGATTAGTTTCTTATCATAGAATAAAATCTATATTAAATGCCATTCTGTATTAATTGCCAAAGAATTATGTTACAGCTGATTTATGAATCGCGCGTAATTTAAATAATCTGATCGAAATGGCAAATTGTATCTCGTGCAATTTTTTTTTCTTTTCGTATGTAAGTATAAAATACTCTGTCAGAAACACAAATAGTTCCCAAAGTTTGAACGAGAGAGCAACGCATATCATATTGCTGACTTCCTGAAAACTTCTCTGTGCTAGACACAAGTTTTGTAAAAATAAAGAAAACGTGTAAAGAGACACTCTATCTTTTGGAGAAACTTATGTTAGATGTCAAAGTCGTTAGGCGTGCCGCAATATCGGACGGAACCCAGGGGAGCCGAAGGGGAATCGACGTTATTGTCATCATTGCATGACAGTGGTATCGATCTATTATTGACTGTCGCTTCGCGAGTTTACCCTTACTCCGTGTTACTTTAAGCTCCTTGATCGTTGTTCTGGGTGTTCTACGTCTTACACGATGTTCTCGGTGTTCGTATATACATTTCTTCTCTCTAACCATGACTGTGCCACGATATATTTTTTTTTAACGTTGTACGGATAGCTCTCTCCTTCCTTCCTTTTTCTTTATTCTTTACGTCAGCGTATCTCGGATGTTCGTCGTTTAATTCGGTGTTTCGCCGTTGCACTCGATGTCAGTGGCTGTTCTCGGTGTTGCGCTGTCGACCGATGTTGGTTGTTGCTTCGCTACGAGACGGTAATACGTTCATTGCGAGACTTTGCGAGATCGTCTGTACCAGAAATCCGACACAAATCCGTTTTGCGATCGGCAACACCGTCATTTGCGGAACTGAAGATATCATTATAGAACGTCATTTTATCGCACAAGTAAAGTAAATTTAATTTTGTCAAAAAAGAGCTTACAAAAACTCATACAAGATACCGTAATAATTATCGTTTTAGATCGAAAGATTATATGTCCACATACAAATTCCGCATGTATTTACAGAGATAATTGTACACTCATAGCGATGTAACATTTTAAATATATGCATTTAAATTATTTATTGTCACGAAAGCACATTTGACGAAGATTTCTTTATGTAAAAAAGGCGATTGTATGAATTTAGGTATCTCAATGTTTCGCGTAATATCCCGCTATTACTTTTCAATAGAAGTAGACGCGCAAGATAGTCATTCCCATTAAATTCGCGTGCACGTACCGCGTGTGTGCCAATTAGAGAGGCGAAAACCAATTTCAGGATCAACGATCGCGCGCTCGACACGACGACGGGCTTTAATTTATGGCTCGTTCTTCGTGATTTCGTCGTCCACCGCAATTCCCCTTCGTGCTCTCCCTAGTCGGAACCGGAAACCCGTCGACACTCGTGCTAATTTGGGTTTCGCGTGACAGCCACGATCGAGTTATTACCGGGACGGAGTCGTTTCGCGTAAGAGAGGGGGAGGAGTTTGTCACTCTTTGCGTAAACTGCAGGACAGGTTTGCGATTTCTCGAGACTCTAACAAGTACACAACAAACATAATTTATAATTGACAAGAAAGTTTGTATTAAATTGGTAATTTACTTGGGAAATATTATTCTTTCATATCAAACTGGGCGCTACGAAGAACTTTCAAATCGCGAATCGTATCGCTTCGCAAATTTCATCGTTAGTACGAATGGCACGATATATTTATCTCGGAAAAGTTTTATTCTTTCGGGATCTTAGGATCAAATTTTGTGACTGCAACTTTGCAAGCGATTGTAATTTCCTGTTTTCGACAACTGCGATTTTAAACTTTTTACTCTCGAACGATCGACGAAAATCATCTCCGGATCGGATGAAAATATTCTCGTAAAACCACTGTAAAATTTGACGTTTGTGTCGCATTGGTTCTTAAACTTGTCGGGATTCGCGATGATAATTTTATCGATTGGTAAACGCGTGTTCAACGAACCACGTAAGATTATCGTTGATCATCGACATATCGGAAGTCGTAATCGAGCTCACAAAATGAACAATTATATAATACCGTGATTCGACCAGGATATTTTAATGGCTTCCCGGAGGAAACCTCCCGCGAAAGATCTTTTGGAGAAAGGTGAACAGGTCGCGATGAGTAGCATCCTAAAAGTTGAGTGGCAACCATCTCATTACTTAAATGCGTCCGTTAGTCGAAGAGAAGCTTTGGGCAAGAGAGCAGAAGTTTCCACGGTCATAATCGCCGCTAATTGACGTCGGAGTTATAAAGTTCAGTGAAATTAGCTAAATCCTTATTTGGACTGCCATGTTCGAGTAGTCTTCCCTCTCTTCGTTTCTATTCTCGGAATTTTCTCTTCTCTTAAATTAAACCTCGATGTGTCTTTGGTATTTTAACACCGGAAGTCGAAAGAAAGACTTACTCGAGTAATTATAAATTATCATGACGAGATAATGGAATGACACATGTAAAAAATCTAATTAAGAATGACATATATGAAAGTACAAAATGTAACGTAATTTTAAAGCTCAGATCTTGATATAAGCTCTCAGGATTAATTCATACATCGGTTAATGTTAATGTTAATATTGGACTTCATTTATAATTAAATGACATAATTTGGTAAAGAAGAGAGACGAGTTTCCGCGCAGGGTGACGGCACAGTTGGATCACTTAGAATGCTCATATAGAGGAGATAAAGCGATGGATTATCGTGTCTGGCGAAAATACGGGAGTATCGCACCATCGTAATCAGTGGCATCACTATCATCGTCACCATGTCCATATCCATTCACTCATTTCAGTATCCATCACCTCATCCATCGTCATTGTATTGTAAATCCTAGTGTGTGTTGTGTGTGTATATTTGAAAGTATAAATACTCAACGTTATTTGAATCGCGATTTCCATCAATAATAGTCACGAGTGAAATAATTCTCGTGACTTTTTTTTAATCATTCGTTCTCAATTCTTGGTCATTTTCACATCATTTTCTATCATTCACTCGCAGTAAACTTATCGACTCATGTTCATGTCATTTCGCGTCATTTGCGTGAGACAAAATCATATTACGTCATCATCATTTCGCACTCGGACGAACGGGAGAGAAATCGTCAAGAGTCGCAGATTCATCTTCATTCATCAGAAAAAGAGACTCCAGATGAACAAAAATAATCAGAGAGAAAAAAAGCAGCACCCGCTAGCGATCTCTCTGACGGGTTGAAGCTCTCGTATCGCGCAGAATCATTTATATTTGCGAAGAACAGAACTCATCCAGAACTAACATTCTAACTTGAGTATTATACTTCAAGTTTAGATGTTTAGATGTGCTCTGATTTATATGGTAGGATGCTCTATCTCAGGACCCGAGGGCTGCAACCTGTTCATCTACCACCTGCCCCAGGAGTTCGGTGACGGCGAGCTCATGCAGATGTTCCTCCCGTTTGGCAACGTCATCTCCTCCAAAGTCTTCATCGACCGGGCGACCAACCAGAGTAAATGCTTCGGTAAGTGTGCGGCGGCACTGCGAACAAATTTCAGAGCTATTACATACATCCGCTCCGCCTGATGTGTGATCGATACTTAACAGCCTCTACGCAAGGTAGGACGGAAGGATGCCAACGTTTGTTTGGTGAAACAATGATGTGCATAATGGATATATATATACAATTTTATACGCAAAATCTTAATATATCTTGCTATCTTTATTGTGTGATTTTAATTATGATGGAAATCACAGCAAACAATAATATTAAAATACTTGTATATATATGTATATATTTTTTTCTTACAAAAATAGTGTAAAGCATTTTTACTTTGTGAAACATGATTATGTAAAAATATGATCACGTCACAGCTGTGCACGCGATACGTCTGTGATTATTATTATGACTTTCAATCAGTCACATATGCTACAGTGCTCTAAATGACTCTACACGTTTCCAATCAGTGGTGGATTAATCATGGAAATTTAATTCGTCCGTATTAACGGACAGACCAGGCAGACTGAATATGAATGCCGTTTCAATGGAATCAGAATCAAACCGCGCAGTTCTTTTTGGGGGACCATACACAGAGAGGACCGAAACAGAGAATGTGGATAAAAGCCGCTGGCGTTCCTTTGATTAATCGTATCCGAGAGTATGAGGATACGGATAATTGGACGATTCCATTCGTGTCCACTCCTTGGTCTACGTCCCATACGTCCACGCGCGCGAATTCATATATCCGCCGTGTATTTGTCTTTTTTCTGTTTCAGAGTCTCGTCATTCGTGTAAAAAGAAGATAGGCTCGCAACAACGTGTCATTATATCCGCATTTGATATTATTCATTCTTTTTTCATCCTGTCGTGCGTATAATTATGGTCGCGATGGGAAAATATGCAAGTTTGCGTCACTTTGAGACTGCCTACCTCGATCAATTCAGAGCTATTTGACAGTTTTTCTTTGTCGTTGAATAATTTGTTATATAGTTATAATCAACGCGATTGGGGAAAAATTTTCTCGCATGTGGGTTGTAAAAATATATCGTGCGATATAAAAACTCGGATACAGCTTGGCGACAAACTTCCGTGGAACGAAAGGTTAAAATAATCAGAGTGTCCCCCGATCCTGAAGTAAAAGTAATTTGCGGCGTAGAGTGAATCGTGGATGGACGGAAGATGAAGGGCCTGGTCAGGCGGTTTAGACCGCCATGAAGGCGAAACTGAAATGAGATCGACGCTAATGGTCAAAATTGGCTTAAACTAAGAAACTCGTGATCTTTCGGGAACATTTCCACCGAGAGAGGCTTCGTTACCTTTTCGATATAACTAGAATAATATCCAGTGAGCGAAAACTTACTTTTCACAAAAAATCTGATTCATCTAGATTCCCTAAATAATTAAATAATTATAACAACAATTATGTTTAAGAGAATTATATGAATGTGTGTGTATATATATAAGCATATGCAGAAATATATTGTACATAACTGGATATAATTGCAACGAAATAATATTGGGACAGATATTATTATATTTATTTATTTATTACACGCAATTTATTAAAGAGGAAGTTGCTGCCATCCATTCAACATATTTATGTTAATTTTATTATTGCTATTATAGATAAATATTTGGCAATTTCTTTATTGTAACTGTGAATATTAACAAATGAAGATTGTATCTTTTATATAAAGATTTTTTAAGGAATGGAAAAACCTATTATTCATGCTGCAGGATTCAATGTTCGGTATTTTCAGGTTTCGTGTCGTTCGATAATCCAGCGAGCGCGCAGACAGCAATTCAGGCGATGAACGGCTTCCAAATAGGGATGAAACGATTAAAAGTCCAATTAAAGAGGCCCAAGGACGCCAGCCGGCCATACTAACCCACGTCCTAGCCTAGAAAATCTGGACGGGTCGCGCCCTACGTTATAACTTACAGAGTAAGTTTCCTTTATCGCGAAAAGATACGTATATATCATATATTTCTTTTTTTATTTGTAATTACAATATTATTAATTTTAAAATAATAACATCGATGTTATATTGTTGTTTCTAAAAAAATAAACTTTAAACAATAACACTATTAATTCATAAACATGATAAATCAACACACATTACAATTTATTACATGCAAATTTCATAAATTACATAATATATTGTCACTCTGAATTACAGATGTCGTACGAGAACGTGAACTCGATGGATGCTCGACGATCAGGAGTGATGAGTTTGAATCACCGTTACAAAGCGCTCTCCACCGTAACAACTTAGTATACTAGCTAGTTAATTTATTAGAGGGTAAAAGATTTAGAGGTCAGTAGGACAACAACGGCTTCAACGATGTTGAAGTTGGCGCGACGGCGGCGAAGAAGAGGCTGAAGCGAAAGCGATGAAGGATGTTCTGCGCTGAACCCAGTCCGAGAAAGAGAGAAAGAGAAAGGAGAAGACGAGAAGAGGAGGACGAGGCACACTGAGACAACATTTCCCGGATGCTCGGATAACCGGAACGCTTCGTCGTTAGACAACATTGGCTTTCCCGTTTCTCCCTTTCATCAGCTCCCATTCCAAATCTGCATGTTTCTTTTGGGTCCTCCGCGAGTTTAGCCTCTGTCTCCTACTGCCAGGTGAGAGATTACGTTCGAGCTCGAGGGCGCGACTGCGAATAAAGCGTGCAGCGGAACATTTCGAGGATCCGATCATCCTTCCAGAGAGACGTGCCGGAAACACCGGAAGTCCAGGCCGAGCTCGTCGTCCCGATATGGCGACGCACCGTATTACACTTAAACGCACGACGTCGTGTAGCGACGATCAAAATCGACGACATCAAAACCGACAATAGCTATCGCGAAATATCCCGTCGAAAAACGCCTGTAGGACTCTCGTCGTGTTCGTTGCCAGTTCGATGATAAGCGAACGTACGCGTTGTCCGCGCGCTTGCGAAAAAGGAAAATCAGAACCGAACCATACGCCCGGTCTGATCGATATCCTCAATAAGGATCCGATCGTACCGGATCCAATCGCGTACGTCAGCTAAAGGGAACAGCTCAGCGATCACCAACACGAGAGCCTAACAAATCTTTTGTACCGCACGAAGCGAACAATGTAGTCATCGCGATGAAGATCCCACGCGGCGTCATCCCCGACGACGACGGCGGGACAGATAATAATCCCCGCGTGAGACTGACGAAAGTAAAATAAAACGCAGGCTCGTCCCGAAGGCGCGGACGAGATCGATATCTCTCTCCCAAAAAGACAAATGTCAATCATATGCTATACAGGGTGCTCGTCTGACGATACGCGTTTGAACACTTTGAAAAAAAAGAAAAAGACAAAAAAAATGAAAAAAGCAGAGAATCAAGCGGTGAACATGGGCTCAGCGCCGGTCCGACATCCCCGCCAGATATCGGTTCTCCTTAACATTTAAGATTTATTAACATGTATGGCGCGCTATAGATTTTATATACTGCAGGTAGAGAAAAGAAAGAGAGAAAGAGAGAGAGAAAGAGAGAGAAAGAGAGAGAGAGAGAGAAAGAGAGAGTGAAGACAAGTTCGTGCACGCCGTGTCGTGTCATATCGAGGCAGATGAGTCTTGCCTTTGAAATTGCGCGCATTTGCACGGCGTTCTCGTTCTTCTTGACTAATAGCACTTATTACTACTATAGTTACGGTGATTATCATTATAATTATCGCTAAGTAAGTGATGCGCGAGTTTCCGGCCGAAAGTATAATCTATTCCGTTATATGGTTCGTGCGCGCGAACATCGAGAGAGAAGTCGCGTGCGGGCGCGATCGCGATCTGCCCGCTTGTCCCACGATCGATTTCGCGATTTGGTCCGATCTACAAGATCGATGATCGACGGGTTGGCTTCGCCCGAACGGTAAGCATCGCCCAAGAAATGTCAGGCAGGCTGTGATTGTCCAGACGATGTTGCCAATGACGGTCCTCTTTATGTTTCGACGTTGTTCTGACAGCATAATATAATAATTGTATAATGATGCTAATTCTCTTCTGTTATCGTGTAGAAGTGAGAGAAAATGGGGGGGAAAAAGGAATAGAGATAAAAGAGCGAAACCAAAGAGAGCAAACAATATAATATATAGTTATATTGCGTAAAATGCAATATCTGTCCTAAAAACGCTTATCATCTCTGCGATATTAGAAAAGAAATAAACTAGAGGAGTAATTTTTTTTTTTTACGTTCGACTCTCTGTTTTATAAGTTTAAAAAATTGAGTTAAGAACGAATTGCAAGCTAATTTACCGTGCAATGATTTTAATAATCGGATTTACGTTTCACTCTCTCGATATTATGGCCGGGACTTTTAATGGCGATGCCAAGAATGCTGAACATATTTTTCGGAAGGAAAGGACCGCTGCCGGGTGGCAGGCTCGGTACGCCTATCGATCAATCGTGCGTGTTCATACGGAATTCCTGTGACTGAAATAGACAAAACTTTTTTTGAACATTTCGCGTGCGATGCCCGATCGGATACGCAGAGCGTCTCGGGCGATTTATACGCGAAAGAAAGAGGGATGGAGGGGGAAGGGGGTGGAAGAAATGGGGGATGAAACAGACCGAATATATAAAATACGCGTAGGATAGGCGATAGGTAGACGAGCGATGGAGCGGAGAGGATAACTCTGATCTAGCGGAAATAATCAACCAAAGTACCAACACAACTGACATATATATATATATATATATACATATATAAATATATAAATATGAATTATTGAGAAAAGAGGAAGTATATATATAAATATTATAAATATAAAATATATATATAATATATATATATGCGTACGCACATACACACACATGTACGTAACGCGTGTACGTGCGTATATACGTATCGATTGAAAGGAATTAGAAACTTAGTAAATTATTCTAGTTTTAGCTAAATCAACGTCTGATAAATTCTTACGCGGAGACATATATACGGAGGCGGACGGGAAAAGGGTGGATTTAGTGAGACGCGAAATTGCTTGACGCGTCGCGCTGCCACGATTATTTTACGTTTATATATTGCATTATACACAAACATATATATATAAATATTGTACCTACGTTTTTGGAGGAGCAGAAATTTTCTCGTTTTACAATCCGCTCCGCGAATTTGTTGCTCGTCCGGACGTGCGACGCACGCAGTACGCATGTTCACGCGGCACACGTGCGCAATTAACGGACACCCAGTATACGTGGCTTGCGCACGTGCGCGTGTGTAATCGCGCGTGCACACGTGTGTGCGTACGAAGCTAATTATACGACGAAGAGAGGAGCGCTTGAAAAAAGAACTTTGCCGGTTACCGACGAATATGACGATATATAATATTAATATATATATATATATATATATATATATATATATATATTAATATTATATATCATATACATATATATAACGATAAACCAAATAACTCTAAAATAACAAAGATAAAGAAATAATATAACACACACGATAACGATTATTTATGGTACATATACATAACTTATACGATAACTACGCGATAACGTAAACATACGCATATATTCTTGTCATTTTTAGAAGGTTAAATTTATATAATATACATATATAAGGAAAAAAGGGGGAAGCTATTAACGACGTCGGACGTAGTTGTCTCAACGACAGGAGACTCGCGGATATTTATAGGATGTGCGAAAGTTCATCGTGATATTATCAGCAAGATTGTAGATAAATCTTTGCCGCGTTGTACACAACTCGTGCACGGATGCAAAGTAAAAATGAACAGCTACGGTCTTAATTAGTCATTCATAAATCCCTCTGTCAAACTCGTAAGATAAAATTCTTAAAAAAATATAATGTGGCACAATAAAATTATTTTATTTTGTTCCGTAAAAAAATTAGAAAATTTTTTATTTTACTAGAAAATAATTTTTTTTTCGTGAAATCTAACATCCTCGCCAACATCCTTGTCAATTCGATCAACGGAAAATCGCCGTTCTCTGTGAAAGCCGCATACGTGCACGTACGGAAGTGCAAGTCCTCCGTGTACAAACGCGCGTGTAAACATAATTAGAAATCACGATCGTGTCGATTCGTGCCTAACTATCTTTACACGCTCGCAGGATGTATCCATTATAGGATGTATGTGTCACGGAGAATGGGATCCTCCTCTCCGCGAACGGACATTTCGCTTCTCACCGATGATCGTCGGAGTTCTCTGGCATACATGCACGAGTGTAATGCAAGTGCGTCAAATACAATTACGAGATGAATGGATCGGAATGGATTAGACGCTCCTCTACGATTCTCCTTGTCCGCGGATAGGTACGTCGATCCGCGTAGATTGAGTCTGACGGTTTCCATCCCTCCGGGTGATTTCCGTAATCAGGCGAGAGCAGCGCAGGCTCGCCCTTAAACAGCGAACTTGCCACGTTTTCTTTCAACTGTGGATCGCGTTTATTCTACGGTTACATCATCAAGAGACGGCGCGGAAATTGAGCGATGGATCGTAAGGAAAATCTTTGCCACGTCTCATGGCAGCGGGATCCGGGGACGACAGAGTACATTCTCTTTTGCGCGATCGATTTTCGATACGGCGAGGATATCCGATTCTATCGGATGCTCTTTACTACGCGAATGTCTCGCACGAGCTGTAGATCGCGAATGGTTCGATTCTCCCGTGGAATTATTCGCACGCGTCCTTCGCTCTCGTGGGACGTGCAAATTTTAGAGAATGAGAGATGGAGAAAGAGATGAGGAATGAGATTACCCTCGAGCGACAAAACTCGACAAAGTCCACTTGAAAGAAATCGCAGAACGATACGACGCGGAGCGGACGCCCGAAGATAGAAATTGAGATAAAAAGTAGTGCCAGATCGCTAACATGAATACGTATAGATACACACATCCATACACATATGTACTATATATGCGCGCATCGCGCGATTCTCTCTCTCACATGACGTACAACATACACACACATATATACATACATATATATAATACACATATATACATATGTATGTACATATACGTCTTCACATACCATTGCTAGCGACATTTCTTAAGACATACACATGCATATACATGTACACACTAGAAGACACTTATACCGGAAAGATGCTTCTATGCAAGCACCAATTGATAATATCACTACGATCTAAGCTTTTTAAAATCTAACAATATATTAATAGTGAATATCAAGGAACACAACTTACCATGATAAATACCATAATAGATAACGCGATAGATACATATATATATATATATATATATATATATATACATATATATATATATATATACATATGTATATATATATAATATACATATATAAATATATAAATACGAATATAACGACGATTGTAAACAAACCAAAAAAATACAACTATTTTATCCAAACAAAGTTTTTGCTACAACCGAAGTAGTGTGCATCTTGCTATGAAGTAAGTGAGACTTAAGGGGGTTAAATAAAAAGATATTCTTAGCTCTAAGAAGAAATAATAATATGATAATATACAGTAATCTGTGAGAATCAGCTTTGAATTTATTTTTACATGACACGTGATTGTACTGCTGAGACGAATTCGATGTTCGCAATTAATGTTCCGAATTCTAGGAAGCGACGTGCTCGCGCAAAATCCCAAGCATTAGAATACATCGCGTTACGAGAATCGAATTCGTGACTTTGTATCGAGTCGCTGGATCTATCTTATGACGTGAGGATTCATTTGCATTTACTAAATAAAGATTATCGATCATATGATTGCCAAATGAAATTGATATTTCAGACAATTTATACATTTATGTGAATGCAAATGATTCACGCGGTTTTCACGAGCAAATCTCAGACTTAAAATGGAGAGAGACATGATAAAGTATAAGAAGAAAATATGAAAAATAAATAATAACTTTTTATTATAATATGTTCAATAAAATAGTTGCAAGATCAATCAATTAGAAAACAAGTACAGAAACAATTTGTATAAAGGCGAATGAAAGGTTCAACTCTTCCTGTAAATCAAATTCTTACAGTAGCATAAACAAATTTGTGTTCTACGTGAATGATCTGAATTTCGTCCTTATTTCTTTCACTTATTTACGTATATAGTTTATCATGTCTCGATTCTTAAAAATTCTGAAATTGTCGCGAATTCGATTGATTGACGCGCGTTGTTACCAAATCACAAACGTCCGTCGATCTCGGATGGTGTTCCACGAACGGACGATAAGCGCACGGATCCGTATTCATATGTGCTATTTCCTAATTAAATTGTGCAGACATTTTCTTGCCAAAGCAACGGAAAGGTCGCGCGGAGTCGACGTTCGCGGTTTCGCCCCCCGGCCGTTACGTATGCGCGA